CTCCAAGTCCACTTCGTAGGCTTCAGTAGTACCAGACCACTGTGAGGTGCTGGTATGTTGAATTTGAATGTGTTGAGGTGGTCCAGGAGCCTCAGAACCTTATCTCAACCCCTATGGTCTCCCAAAAAATGTAGAGACTTCCAGAAGGGGCTCACACTGGGTAGACTACGAACGGTGAGCCTTGAGAAACAACCTGGGCGAAATCTAAAGGCTTTGCTAGCCTCATTCCCGGGTAGATCGAACTATTGGTCCTTTTATTTGTTCATATGAAACTTAAGGCTTTTAGTATGACAGAGCCACTTTGAACACTTTAATCTGTGCGATTTAGTGTACAGTATGAAGGTTAAGGTTCTGTTTCCTACCGTACTACCCTTGGCAGTGATGCCGATCGAGTTGATCTACAGAAGCACTAATGAAAACACAAACAGCAAATTGCACAAATACTTTACACACAAAATTCACACCGCACAGAATCAATAGATATCGAATTGAACAGTTTTGTAAAAAAAAATAGACCCGTGTTAGCACTTCCACTCAGGGGGGACATAATGGATACTGGTAGGGATGCGGAGGTGCTGGAGGCCATGCGGTGGCCTGCTGTGTTGCACCCATATGCCATTTCTTATCATCGTCTTCTAGAAGGTTTTTCGGTGGATTGGCTGGTAGAAGTGGCGCATGTTCGCCATGATCGTCTATCCGTTGCTTTTCCTTCTTGGCTTTCATCCGTCGATTTTGAAACCAGATCTTAATTTGTCGATCGGTCAAGTTGGTCTGTAGTCGCAGTTCTTCACGTTGCTTCTTGCTCACATAACTCGATTGTTGAAATTTCTGCTCGAGCACACTCGTCTGGTATCGCTGGTACGTTTGTCTGCCTTTTTTCGACGCAGCTGAAACAAACACACGTCAGGTGGTGGTCCAGATCAAAAGAGTATAAACGGAACGCTCGCCACTTAATCAGTTCGAGTTTTACTCGCTCGCGTGCGTGTTCTGCCCGCGTGTGTTTGCCTGCAGCGCGTCGCTAGCACATCGTACGTGATCGTGCGGAATCGATCGATTATCGATCAGTTGTCACGATTGTGCACGAAGTACTTGCTACTTGTGTACGGTGGTCACCATGCCACACAATGAACAGAGGAAACACACACCAGCACAACAGTCACAACTCGATCGACTTTCGCCAATACTACAGTAGCATTCCGTTCCGTTCAGGACCAACTACGGTCGTGATTTGGGCCAAAAAGGACACTCTAGGTGGAGGGTATGCGGAAGTAAAGGGCAAGACTGCAACGGCAGGGCGAACAGCAGCGTTACTATGGTAGTTCTGCAGTTACATGACATAAATCACAAAGAGCCGCGTTAACGATCTTAAGTGGCTATTAGACGGAAGAGCTCATGTCGCTCTTCCGGGAACCCCACACAAAGAGAAAATCGATGCAGCAAATAGAGGGCCTAATGGCAGTGCAGGGTACTGGTACCTAGAGATCCAAATTACCTTGTATACACTTCCCTAATTGGGCGCCCCAGGGTCTGAGTATTTTTGCCCCAGGCCGAAAAAAAAAACAAGATTCATGCAGGATTACCATGGACAAAGGGTGACAACTGGTCGTTTGGGAACCAAATGCTGAACGCGGGTATAATTCAACAACAGAATAACCTAAAGCTCACCATAGTTCGGCCAGTGTGGAGCAGCATAGCATTGTGGAGGCCAAGCAGAAAACGCTGCTGGAGCTAAGGGCTGTCCAAATTGCTGATAATAGTTTGGCCAACCGGCGTAACCAGGCATATAGGCTGCTGCACCTGAATGTAGATAAAGGTAAAGTCTGAAAAATAGTCCATAAAATTCATTATTCACCTGTGTACAGGGCGGCATCTGTAGACGGAGCAGCTGCTTGATCATGATCATCTTTGCCTACTCCTTGGGTCATTGCAGCCAGCCTCTGGAAGGAAATCATTAGTTCTCGGTTTTCAAATTTCAATGGAAAATTTACTCATATAAATAACTGGTACTCACTGTGACACATGATGAGAAAGGAAAAACGACTTTGTTGGAAGGATAGTGACATTTTAATTGGTGAGAGACTAGCTAGCGTACTGCTCTGGAAGCTGGCAGAGGCGCGTCTAAGCGCTGGTGCTTCGCGGTCGTAGTGGATTCACACGACTGCGCGTCATGAATATGCCAACTGGAAGAGTTATGTGCCGGCCCAATGAGGCACTTAGGGCTCTAATGTTTCACCAATGGGCCCCATTACCAATTATGATCCGCAATGATGGCGCATGTAATGAGGTATTCGTAGTAGACGAGTGAACTAACATAGTCACACATGTGTGCCGTGCATTTACACTATGATCACATAGTGATAACAGAAGTGAAGAGATCATCAGCTCACCTGAAGGTGATCGTTTGCTTCTGGCTGACTGCCAGAGGCTCCGAAATCGAAGCCAACCGATGACAGCGTGGCGGGATTCATCTGAGGTTCGGCGCCGGCGCGACACTACCGTAGTCGAGGGGGCGTGGCGTACGACCGTGATTCGCTGAAAGCCGGCAAGAGACCGATGAGCTAACTGGCGCTGCAGTAACGACGAAAATGCGCCAAGAAATAGGTAATGAGCAATTGAAAATCCTTGGAAACTTCCATGCCATCATAGAAATCGCAACGATTTTGTAATCGAGACAAACACACAGACGGAGGTGACAAGTGTGTTTGATTTGTGATGGCGATAAATTCCGTTGGAAGTGGCCGCCGAAGTAATTTCGCATGAATAACGGTTTTACCCGCATAAAAGGCGCACAATAGAGTGAAAGTTGTAGCGATGCCAATGTTTCACTAGGTAAAGTTCTACCTTAGCCCCAGCCCTGTGCGCGTCAGAAAGCAGAGAAGTGCAAGAACCGCGTGAAGAAAAGTGGAGGTTAAGTGAGACGAGAATCAGTGAAAGGCTCAGAGAAGTCGGGGCTGGACTGGGTGCTTGACCAGCCAGCCGGCCGAATGCTGAATAATTCGCAACATTCGGATGAGATGCTACACTGTTATGTTGCGAGTGATGAGAACGAGCAATTTACTCCGAAAGAAACGCGCATCAAATCGCGCTAGTTTGAACCTTTCTAATGAGGGCATTTGGATGGCCGTTCGAATTTTACGATCATTTCGAATGGCGGCTATTAGGGAACGCTCCCTGCCTCTCCTCATACCTATGTGGACGACGACGTCGAATCATCGTCGTCAGTGGCGCGTCGTCATTCAGCCAGTCGTCCATCCACCACCTCTTCGTTCGCTCGCAGCACGTCTTCGCTTTCTGTTCAGTGAGTTTTGGTCAGAAAGATTTAAGCTCAATTTTCGGTTCTGCTTTGAAAATGTTGAAAATTTCTCTACGAAACGAAAACTAGATGTGAAAGTTAGATGTGCTCGGTAGTGAAGTGCCGTGGAATAGGACGGACTCGGTGAAAGGAACATTGTAGGTGACGCTCACTTTCCACGGGGGGACCACCCAAAGCACGGTGTTTGCAAAGTTTGTTTGTACATCATAAAATGCTTTGACAAAATAGGCCCCCAGATTGTCCATGTCGTGCCAGCTACTTGAAAAAATCGAAATGAAAGCAAAGCTCTTCTCTATATTGCCCTTTCGTGAACAAATATGTTTCATTGTGACTCAAACATTACTTTGCTTTAATTTTCCCATTCGCAGCGTAAAATGCCTAAAAAGGTTCGCTTCTAAATTTGAGATAACCCTAAGAGGTACGGCTTTCGAAGAGCATGGGCTTGAGGAGAAATCAATATTTCTGAATCACATCAAATCGCATTTCAAGGTTTACGACTATGCAAATTAGAGCGAGAGGACGTGCTGCGCTCGCCGGGGCGGCACAGCGGTGTGGATGTCCATGGAAAATGTTAAGCAATCATTATGGCAGTGATAAACGGTGAGAATTGTTTGAATGGGCTCTCACTCACATTACCTGAATTGAGAGTTGACTACTACTCTACCACTGGAGCAGTAATGAGGTTGAGTTTGGGTAATGATAGGTAGAAAAGAGAAACTGCCAGCAATTGCTGATTTTGAAGCTCAAGTCAGAGTGAGAAAAGAGAGAGCTGGAGGTAGATCTTGGCAGAAATAAGAAAGAGATGAGGAGAGAAAGAGGAAGCAGAGATGGCAAATGCTTAGAGCTAAGATAGAACCAAGCCAGGTAGGGGTAGGACAAGGGATCAGCAGAAACAAAGTATCCAAGCGCGCCGGACCACCACTAAGTCCTTCCATGAAAACTACCCTATTTGTCAAAAGATGCAATAATCCTCAATAGGATGGGGTTCCTTTACTCTGCAAGAAAATTAATAGTTTTATGAGTGAGGGCAGATCAAGAAATGAAGCGAAAGTTCCGGCCGTCGGAAAAGAGTGATATAAGTCAATCTGGTAGCTTCTTGATGAAGAGCCGGACTGAATGGTTCCCATATCAGTAGTGGTATTGGCTTCTATTTTTGGTAGAAACAAGTGATTATCATGATTATCACTAAAGTCCATGAACGACGAGCTGATAGGGGATCGTTGCCGAGTAACGAGCCGTTGAGTGGGAGGAAGCGTGTTTGAGAAGTGCCAAAACGCTTAATGTCAGACATTTAGCTTTTTAACGAGCTAGTTAGATTACCCGAATAGGTACTCAAATGATGGGTGGCGATGTTGCGCTCTGGTGGTCGTTGTCTCGTCGCCCGCGTTCGGCTCACTCCACCCCATAGGCGGAGCTTAATCCACAGTAGCCTCCCTTTTGAAGGTGCCGACGCCGCCAACGCTGACAACGCCGCTCGCGCACAAACGCCCGACCAACCACTTCTCGGCGGCGGCTTGATCTCGAGAACTGCGCCAGAATTTGTAGCATAAGAGGTTCAACATAACTCAACAGGGATAAATGGCTCAACTATCCAAAAAGGTAGATTGGTGATGGTCGCCAAATTCAAAATTTCACAAAATTTGAGCAGCTACAGGCGTCTCGTTTGCACAGCAGTTAGTGTCCGACTTGGTAAACCTGTTTAAGTCTTGCACAAGGCTTCAGAAGGCCCTATTTATGGGCTTGAGGACAAGGAATTGATCCGCGCCCCCACTGAGCCTAAACAGCTTTATCTCCCCTGTGTTAGTTTTTCTCATGAAAACCGGATGTTTACTTCGCGTTCGGCGTTCTTAGTAGTCATTGCAACTCGCGACATCCATTACTGCCAATGAGGTGAATTTAGTGCAAAACACGATATCTCCGCCCTATGTTTAACGACCGATTCAAAAGGGCTATTTATCCTGTTTAATATCAGTTGCTCTCACTTTCCCCTTAGCCAAACTCGGTCAAATTCGAATTCGACTAATTCGCGGTATGTTTTGAGCCGGGCGCTTGAAAGATGCCGACGGATGGGCGGCAGTCGGGTTATCTAAATGTGATCACCCTCCACGGCAGTCTGCCCTGATGCACCTCGTTATGGCACTGCTTGACTACTGAAGGCTGACGAGGTGAGGCCCAGCCCAAAATGAGGTGTGGGAAAAAACTTTCGAAGGGACAAAAGAACCAGGAAATGCTCAACGCAAACAATTTCCGAATGTTTTATTAAGTTCCGGGCATTTCTCAAGTATTTGTCAGGGCCACCCATGTCGCTATCGAACACATGTTCAGCAGCTGAATCGGCATGTTAATGGGCGAAAATTCGGTCGTTCAGTGCGTCTTTTTGCGATAGTATTAGGCCAGCCGCGCGCGCGCGACGCCACGCATCGATTTTGAGTGCGATCTAATGGAGCATTTTTCTCGTTTGACTCGAACGCGATTACGGTATTCGGTCAGTTCAACTGTTCAACAACTTCACACATAATGTAAATGGATCGTCAAATAAAGAAGTGCGGAACGTAGAACGCGAGTTGATGCACGGAAAAGGACGTCAAACGAATGAAAGGGGGGCTTGGAAGGAAGGAAAGGTGAACGAGGGACGATGAGATGAATTATAGGTGTTCAGAGGATGTAAACACACGCCGAGAAAGTATGCTAACCGGAGCGAGTCGAGATCGCATGTGGTTTCACTCTGCGCGCACACCTGAGACTCAAAATTATAGGCCTCAGTGGCGGCGTTTGGCAAAAACACCATTCGGCGAAAAGAGCCCCACTAGAAATGTGGCATTTCGAGTCGCTTTCACCTGTCGGATGACAGCAAATCTCTGTCCCGGTTCCTGGCACAAAAAGGTCAGACCTAGCGCAAAAAGGTCAGAAGCCTCGAGGAAAATGAAAACTGGCAAGGACCAAAGAAAGGAGCTATTATGAAGAGGAAACGAAGTTAAATGACAATTGGCCGCATCTACGGTAAGCACAGGTGGGTGTACCACGCGCGGCCACGATGAAAGCCTACAGCCGATCCAGGTGGGAGTCGTAAAAACGATTTACGGCCGAGGGCACAACACTTCCCGGCGTCAACTATCTGCAATCAAATACATTCCAGAATATGCAACGCGCAGTTCATTTCAACGGTTTTTGCTCGAGAACGTGGGGTCAAAAAATAGCAAAGCGATCTTAATGCCAAAGTTATACTTCTAGAATCTTCAGCAGCTTCACAGAGTAGTGGCAGATTGTTTTGCCCCATCTTACCCACAAAATATAGTCTAACATATCATATTATGGCGTATCCTCAGACCCTTCATGGACCATGGTCAGGAAAAGTCACACGGCTTCCTGGAGAGGGCTCAAAGCAGCATTTAGGTTTTCCGAATCGCTGAAACGTCAGGAGAGTGCAAAGGATCTTGCCGACAGTGGAACATAAACGGGACATCGATGAACCGTCTACGAGGAGGCGACAATGAACTGGGTGTTGTCTTGGGAATTTATCCCATAAGGGTTTCAAATGGGTAGTGAACCGTTCCACATATCACGGGGATCTTACAACAATACCTGCTCTGGCGCGTTTTTTCAGCGCGGAGCGGATGAGATAAATCAGAATCGCACGTG